TTAAAGGGCTCGAAGCCGGGCTCCCGCGCCTGGGGATCGGGGCCGAGGAGGGGGGCTGAGGCCTGGGTGCAGAGTGCTGTAGGGTCAGTCACGTGCGACCCACATACTCTCCGGCTCCCACGGGTTCCAGGGCCGCCGGGCCTTGGGGGCAGCAGAAGCCTCCCCTCGCCTGAGGAGGGGGCCCGGGCGCTCAGACAACCCCGCCTCGTCTTCCCTCCCTGCTACGGGCCTTCGCCTGGTGGGACCGGCTGGGCCGCTCCCCCAACCCTGTCTTGGGGCCGAGCTGCATGTGGGTTCTCCGGCTGAGGGAAGGGGCGGGGGCCTGAGATGGCCTCCGATCGTTCGGTCAGTGCGTCGGTCTGTCTCACTGCTGGCCGGTCGCTGTGCGCCCCTCCATCCTATTCTCCATCCCGGCCCTTCTGTCCTCTGCCGCCGCTGTTTCCCACTTCCTGTTTTCTTCCCAGCTCTGGCGCCACCGAGGGCTGCCTGGAGTGGGGGAAGTGGTGGGGCCCCCCAGGAGGCCGGCGTGCTCTTCCTCTACCACCACCCTCCCTTCCGACCCCCGTAGTCTCTTTAAAAAACTTTGGGCAGTCAGATGAACTTGGGGGGCATCCAGGCGGTCTGCTCCCCCAGGTCTCCACAGTCTGTCAGGAAGAATCTCTACCGTACCTCTGGGACCCAGGTGTGCCTTCTGGGACCTCGCAGTCCCAGCCCTTCCTGTCTGTCTGCTGCCCCTTCTCCACCCTGTTTTGCAGTGTCCTGAACCCTTCTCAGTGTCAGCTGTTTTCTCCCTGCCTCACTGTCCCCCCATGCTCCAGAGGTCCTGCCACCCCCAAGCTTTCTTGGTGCAGGCCTGTGGTTCCTTGATTTAAGCACGTGGACCCAGACACAGCACATACTCACACATGCTCCCCTTGCCCGTGCCTGTGCCTGGCTCCTGGTTCCAAGGCCTGGGGAACAGAGCCCCATTGAGATACCCTGACGTCACCCCCCCCCTTCTTCCTTCTCCCCCCAAAGCCTAGAACAGGCCCTCATGTATGCCATGTCCGATGAGGAAAGCCGGCATAAGGGTGGGCCTGGCAGTGGGGTGGGTCCCTGCCAGGAGCTGGAACCAGGGTCCTGGCCCCAGAAGGGGTTTACCCAGGAAGAGAGCTTCACAAGGGGGCTTGGGACAGCCTCTGACATGCAGCTCGAGGCCTTTCCAGAGCCCCCTACCTCCCTTCCCAGTTCCCTTTGTGTTGCATGTAGTCTCTCTCACTCCTTCTCTTCTGCAAAGTTTATTTTTAGCCTCCTGCTCCCCCGCTCCCAGGACTGTCGCTGCACACACGTTGCCTGGTTACCGGGACAAGGAGGCTGGGGCGGGTGGGCTGGGAAGGGTGGCTTTAATTTTGGGGGGAGGGTGGAAGTCAGTATACTTTCCAACCCCAGACTGATGTCTCAGGGGTTTTGGCCCTCCCCTCCTGGATCTGAGAGCCAGATTGGGGTTTAGGTGGGAGAGCATGGAGCTTGGTGCCCTGACAGGGCCAGGAGCTTTTTGGATAGGGTCAGAGGGTTCATGGAGCCAGTAGTTTGGTCACTTGGGTTCCCAAGGGCCTCTGGGGCCTGGGTTCTCTGGCAGGGTGAGGACAAAGGGGTGAACACCTGGATTCCCAAGAGAAGGATGGGGCTGTGGATGCTGGGGTCCATGGAAGACATTGTCAGGGGCTGTCACTTCTGAATGGAGCAGGGGCTGCTGGTGCAGGTTGGAGGTCATATCCCTGGAGCCCTGAGGGGCTGGTTTGAGACTAAGATTTCTGAATGGGGCAGCGACTCGGTGGGCCTGCTGGGGGAATGCTGGCCATCCCTGTCTACCCGAGGCCCAGGGATCGGGGAGCTGGGTCTCTAGGGGAGAGAGTTGGCTGTGGGTTTAGAGGGTGTGGTCCCTGTGGGAGCAGGAACTGCTGATCCTGTGTCCCCAAAAGGAAGGATCCCCTGTTGGATTCCAGACTAGGGTGGAGCCTTTGGGGGAGGCCCGGCTTTGCCCCAGGGTTTGGTTGGTACCTGCTAGAGCTGGGGCTTGAGCCAGGGCCAGGGCAGGGTGGCCAGCCCAGGCAGCCTGACTGGGACTTGGGACCCCGCCCATCTGTAGCTGTCCACCTTGGCTTTCTCCCTTTAGTGGCACTAGGGCCCCTGCTCTGCCTCCTCTCTCCTTTTCCCTTCCTCCACTTCCCTCCTCCCACCCCCTCCATTACCGGCTGCCTAGTGCTGAATTATTGATGGTCCCTGATTACCCGGGGGTTTGGGAAATGACAACAACCGCAGCCCCCCCATCTCCTCCCCCTAGGCTGCCCACCCCCTCCAGGGACCAGCCAGCCCACCACCAACCTCTACCCAAGGTTAATGTTGGGGGCGGGTAGGCAGGTGGGCAGGGAAGAAGCCGAGGATGAGAAGGCAGAAGGGGGAACGGGTACCAGTGGTGCTTGTTCAATCTCAGGGCCCGGGCTGGGGCCCTCCAGACAGGTTGGGCCCCTGTGCCCAGGTCTGGGGAGGGCAGTGCAGCACAGAGGGTCTGGGCTTGGGGGGGGGCCTCTCTCAGACAGTCTGGGTTTCACTCTCCAGGGAAGACAGAAGCCTCTGTGTGTGCAAGCGCTGACCTCATCCACAACCAGCCACCCCACCCCTCCTGGTCCTTTTAAGAAAAAAAAATCCTCTCGGGTCCTGGGGTGGGAGTATGGGCTCTGGTAGTCCTTGGGAGGGAGACAGTATATGTTCCTAGGAGGGAACCAGAGTAGCTGGTGGGGGTTAGGGGGTGGTATGACTGACCCTGAATGAGAGTGGGGGGGCTGGGGGGACCTTGCCCCAACTCTCTGGCCACGTGTGCCCCTTCCTGCCCCTCCCCCGCTGGCAGCCCTGCCCGCCGGCCTGGCTTGGTGCCTGGCCCCCTGGCACTGGCCCCGGGACCCGCCGCCGACGGTTTCCTGTTTCTCCCGGTGTCGCTGGAGCAGGCTCCAGCTTCCCCTCCCCCCAGCTCCCATCTAGCCCCCTCACACACAGACAGATACACACTGTCTCCCTCTAACCCAGGTCCCGACTTTGCTTAGGGGAGACGGAGTTCCCCATGTTGAAGTTGGGGTAGGAGGTGGACCCTAGTCCCAGAGCCTGGGACTAGGCGCCCTGACCCGAGGCCACTCCCCTGCCTCTGTCCCCAGGGTTCGCCTTCCCGGATTGGGCCTACAAGCCGGAGTCGTCCCCTGGCTCGAGGCAGATCCAGCTGTGGCACTTCATCCTGGAGCTGCTGCGGAAGGAGGAGTACCAGGGTGTCATCGCCTGGCAGGGGGACTACGGGGAATTCGTCATCAAGGACCCTGATGAGGTGGCCCGGCTTTGGGGTGTCCGCAAGTGCAAGCCCCAGATGAATTACGACAAGCTGAGCCGGGCCCTGCGGTGAGGAGGGCAGAGCCCCTGGGCAGATGTGAACAGCCCACACCAGTTGGGGAGCCCCTGACCCATGGGAATAGGTTTTGGGTTTGACTCCTGGCTTTTCTAAATTGTAGCTGTGTGACCTTGGGCAAGTCGTAACCCTTCTCCGAGCCCATTTGTCACACAGAGGTGTCCTGAGGAGAGAATACAGCCATGGGTGTGGCCTCTAGTCTGGCTCCAGACTAGGGGAGAGCTGGTCCCCACCCTTTGTGCACTTGACTGCTCTTGGTCTTCTTTTATGAGCAGCATCTAATGAATGTCATGGTATGGGGTTCGGACTGGGTCCTGTGTGACTGACCATCTGATGGCGTCTCTGCCTACTCCCACAGCTATTATTACAACAAACGCATTCTGCACAAGACCAAGGGGAAACGGTTCACCTACAAGTTCAACTTCAACAAACTGGTGCTGGTTAATTACCCCTTCATCGATGTGGGCTTGGCTGGTGAGTACCAGGGCTGGCAAGCATGGCCTCAGAGGGAGGAGAGGGTGTGTCTGTATGTCCAGGCTGGGCCAAGGGCCTTGAGACCACATTTCCCCTCTCTTGCCAGGGGGTGCGGTGCCCCAGAGCGCCCCTCCAGTGCCGTCGGGTGGCAGCCACTTCCGTTTCCCTCCTTCAACACCCTCCGAGGTGCTGTCCCCCACCGAGGACCCCCGCTCACCTCCGGCCTGCTCTTCGTCCTCATCTTCCCTCTTCTCGGCTGTGGTGGCCCGACGCCTGGGCCGAGGCTCGGTCAGTGACTGTAGCGATGGCACTTCAGAGCTGGAGGAGCCACTGGGAGAGGACCTTAGGGCCCGACCACCGGGCCCTCCGGAGCTGGGTGCCTTCCGAGGGCCCCCGCTGGCTCGCCTGCCCCACGACCCTGGCGTCTTCCGTGTCTACCCCCGGCCCCGGGGTGGCCCTGAGCCCCTGAGCCCCTTCCCTGTGTCGCCTCTGGCCGGGCCTGGCTCCCTGCTACCCCCTCAGCTCTCACCAGCTCTGCCCATGACGCCCACCCACCTGGCCTACACGCCCTCGCCCACGCTGAGCCCTATGTACCCCAGTGGAGGTGGGGGCCCTAGTGGCTCGGGGGGAGGCTCCCACTTCTCCTTCAGCCCTGAGGACATGAAACGGTACCTTCAGGCCCACACCCAAAGCGTCTACAACTACCACCTCAGCCCCCGCGCCTTCCTGCACTACCCTGGGCTGGTGGTGCCCCAGCCCCAGCGCCCTGACAAGTGCCCGCTGCCGCCCATGGCACCTGAGACCCCGCCGGTCCCCTCCTCGGCCTCGTCCTCCTCTTCCTCTTCTTCTTCCCCATTCAAGTTTAAGCTCCAGCCGCCCCCACTGGGACGCCGGCAGCGGGCAGCCGGGGAGAAGGCTCCAGCGGGCAGCGACAAGAGCAGTGGCATTGGCGTTGGCAGTGGTGGCAGCAGCACAGGTGGGCTGGCTGAGGGGGCAGGGGCACTGGCCCCCCCGCCGCCGCCACAGATCAAGGTGGAGCCTATCTCAGAAGGAGAGTCGGAGGAGGTGGAGGTGACTGACATCAGCGATGAGGATGAGGAAGATGGAGAGGTGTTTAAGACGCCTCGTGCACCCCCTGCACCCCCCAAACCTGAGCCTGGCGAGGCACCTGGGGCCGCCCAGTGCATGCCCCTCAAGCTTCGCTTTAAACGACGCTGGAGTGAAGACTGTCGCTTGGAGGGGGGTGGGGGCCCCACTGGGGGCCTCGAGGATGAGGGCGAGGACAAGAAGGTGCGTGGGGAGGGGCCCGGGGAGGCCGGGGGGCCCCTCACCCCGAGGAGGGTGAGCTCTGACCTCCAGCACGCCACAGCCCAGCTCTCTCTGGAGCATCGAGATTCCTGAGGGATGTGGGCAGGGGACCGTGTTCCCCCACCCCCCCCATGCTTCTTTTGCTGCCTTAAATCCCGTGCCCTGGAGGTGAGGGCAGCCCTAGTCTCTTCCCCACCTCCTTCCTTTCCCCCTACCCACGTTTTGTATAAAACTTAATTTTTTTTTTTTTTTT